CCATACTTGGGCATTTGGGTTGTTTCCATACCTTGGCTCTTGTACTCAGTATACACAGATGCTTGAGTTTGATGGCCCCCCTGTTCCCCAGCACTGCCAGCCTGAGCATAGCTATGCCGAACAGCAAATCTCGGCCCGCACCGTGAGTCATGGGGAAAACCAGAACACCCCTAGGAACCGCCCCAATAAGGGTATCTAATAATTCATCAGTTTGGGACTGATTGACTTATTGTAAGATATTCAAACTATGAAATCAAAACATTTAAGCATAACAAAGTTTGGACTGAGGATGCAGTTCAAGTGGTAGAGACTCTGGGGTTGCCTGCTCCCTCCCTCTCCTGATCCTTTACATCCTCTGGCTGCCCCAGCACAGAGTGTGACCTGAAACAATGATAAATATACAAATGAGGGTCCAAGTGGTGGTACAGAGGATAGGGGGTTTGACTTGAGTGCACCGGACCCAGTTTCAATCCCTATATGGTCCCCTGAGCCTGCCAGGGGTGATCCCTGAGCACAGAGCCAGAAGTAAACCTTAAGCACTGCTGGGTGTGCCCCCCCCCCCCGCCAAATTAAAAACTAAACCTATAAATGCACAAATGAGCAAGGTACATATTTATGTTTCTGTTGATACTATGGGAAATTTCATGTGGCTTGTGAATATATTACGAAAGTCGTGTAGGATTTGTGGGTAAAGCCATACTATTTGGATTCAGTATTTATGTGTAAATACCAAGTTGCTAGAGGTTCACACCTTGCAGTTAAGGTTGTTTTCCTCTTGGAAGAAAAGATGGATTTGGGGTGAAGAAGAAGCAAGAACTGGACTTTCACTTTCTTTATTTTCAGAGGGGTTGGCCATATCCAGCTGTGCTAAGAGCTTATGCCTGGCTCTGTGCTCAGGGGACCATATGTGGTCCTGAGAATCAAACCAGGGTCATCCACATGCAAGACAAGTGCCTTACCCCTGTACAGCCTCTCTGGCCCTGAACTTTCATACTCTGGACAGATTTCTGCTTGTGTTGAAGTTTGCAATATGTTTGGTATTTTAAAAAATTGAGTAGATTGGGTAAAGGAAGTGTTCACTGACTGAGTGCATGCAGGAGGCCAGGGTTTGATCCCCAGTATTACATGATCCCCTAAGCTCTATCAGATGTTACCCCACGGCCAATAAAATGAAGTGAAATAAAAGAATATAATGATGCTTTCATCACTGTCACTGTCACTGTCCTCCCGTTGTTCATTGATTTGCTCGAGTGGGCCCAATAATGTCTCCATTGGAGACTTTGTTGTTACTGTGTTTGGCATATCGAATACGTCACAGGGAGCTTGCCAGGCTCTGCCGTGCAGGCGAGATACTCTCGGTAGCTTGCCGGGCTCTCCGAGAGGGACGGAGGAATCGAACTCGGGTCAGCCATGTTGGCTGTGTGCAAGGCAAACGCCCTACCGCTGTGCTATCCCTCCAGCCCAATGATGCTTTCATAAAGGGAAAATTCATATATTAAAATGTTGAAAATCCACAAAAGTAATAATTACGATCCTCTTTCTTCTTACTTGATGACACTGTGAACATGTTGGAATAGAGAGGGGTGGGGATTGAGTCTAGAAGAAGCAATTCAATAGAAAATATAAACACAAGGCTGGAGAGAGATTACAGGGCTTATCCTGGTTCAGCCTCCACCATGATATGTGCCCCCCGAGTTCATCCAGGAGAGCACATAACCATAACATGCCCTGAGCATCACCAAGTACAGCCCAACCGCACCTCCCCCCATCGCTACCACCTGCCCCTCCAAGAAATTATAAACACAGTGACATGAGGGTATCCAGGGAGAAAGGGGGCCTGTCTGTGTTTCTCAGATCCTTTGCTATTTGCCTCTCGCCATTGGAAAAGCCACTGCCAGTTAGATTTTTTCTCCAGGCAGCAGGTAGGGCTGACCTACTTGCATTAGAAGAAAGGGCTAGAAAGAATGTGGAGAAGGGTTCTGCCTAAATGTGGTGTTATTGTTAGAATGTCCATGAATGAATGTCAGAGCTCAGCCTCTCAGAGGGCTGCTAGGAGATGAGAAATAGTCTTTGTAGAAGCTGAACTCGAAAGCAGAAACCACAGTCAGGGGTGGAGATAAAATAGATAAAATATGAAAGACCATGATGATCTGGTGGGGTGTGTGTGTGTGTGTGTGTGTGTGTGTGTGTGTGTGTGTGTAATGTGTGTGTGTGTGAAGCTGAATAATCAAGGAGAACATTTGAAATGACAGCATAATCCTAAGGAAGAAAATGAAGTCACTTTGCACAATTAGATTTTCGAAATTTTAAGAGATGCTTTCATGAGGGGCTGGAGTGATAGCACAGTGGGTCGGGCATTTGCTTTGCATGCGACCGACCCGGGTTCAATTCCCAGCATCCCATATGGTTCCCTGAGTACCACCAGGAGTAATTCCTGAGTGCATGAGCCAGGAGTAACCCTTGTGCATCGCCAGGTGTGACCCAAAAAGAAAAAAAGAGAGAGAGATGCTTGCATGGGGTAGGAGAAGGTGCACGTGCCGGTATGTATGATTTTGTGTGTGTGCACGTATGCTTGGCTGGGAGAAGAAGGGATTCAGCAATGGCTGTGAAAGATGGGACATTGGGTCGTTCTGTTACTAAGTTCAAAGAGAATTTCTAAAGGAAAAGTAAAACCCCCATTTGACTCAGATGTGGTTCATTTTCGGAGGCAGTGTCGAGAGGCACAAGATCAAATCTAGCTTGACACCCTCCGGTTTGGAACTCAGCAGTCTCTGAAGAGGGAGCTGCGCTGCAGCCTGGCTAATGAGAAACTCATCTTCTGCTGGTACACGGGGCCCCTGTCGTTCTCGTCAGTGAGCAGGATATAAAGAGAACACCAAGCAGAGGGGAGACCTCACAGGTCACCCAGAACATTCGTTTTGCAGGCCCCCCCACCTGGCCTTTCTGGAAAACGGTTGCACAAGAGCTCACAGTTTAGCCAGGATGCACATCGGTGGCTTGGTTCTTCATCCAGGGGTGGTTTTGAAGGAAATAGGATACTTCACACATTGTCTGACCATTGGCAGGGAGGAGGAGGGGTAGGGGAAGAGGGGATGAGAAGGAAGAGGAAGAGAGGGTGGAGGAAAAGAAGACAAACAGACCTAACCAAGCAAACCAAACCCTCATTCTTATTCTCCGGGTGAGAACAGCTATTGCAAAGTTCAAATGAAACTAGAAGTTGAGCTCTCCAAATAAACACTTTAGTCTTTTTAAGTTCATGTTCTCTGCCCGACACATTCTGAAACACCATAAACCTACAGACATTTGTGTCTCAGTGATCTAGCCTATGGAAGTGAGGTTCCCAAATATATTTGACCTAGCATCCCCTTTTCAGAAAGAAAGATCCCTCAGCTCCAGCCTGGAAATCTTAACTTATTTAAGCAAATAGAAAATGTCACCTTCATTTGCCCCCAAGGCTACAGACCTTCTGGATACAGACACTGGAACCAGTGTCCCTGACAGGGAAAGAAGCATCACCCACTTTGGAAAACACTGATCTAGAAACTCAAAGGGAAATTAAGGTGCTCTCCGGGGACTGGAGAGATAGTATAGGGGTAACAGCTATTGTCTTGAATGCAGCTGATACCAGTTCCATCCCAGGTACTACTTACGGTCTCCTGAGCACCACTGGGAGAACTCCAAAAAGCTGGTGGTGAAGGGAAAGAAGAAATAAGGATATATCTCTAGTATATCCTTAGAATTTGTCGGGGATTCTGGAACCCATCCCCGCTGTCAATCCCAGTACATGCCTGGATTGTCTCCATAGCCTAGGAGCCTGGGCACTTGGCTGCCAGCTCCCCTCTCCCCCCCCCCCCCCACCCCCAACTCTCTTCCTCCTGCTGCCTAAATCTGCTTGCCAAACTTGAGCTCTGCTGTCACGTTGATGCTCAGAACCCTTAAGTGACAGGCAGAGCCTTTTATAATGTCCCCACCGCCCGCATCTCTGGCTTCTACCCTTGATCGCACGCCAATCAGTGCTTTGCCTAAGGGCCTCAGTCCCCAGAACAACTTCTGTCTCTTCTCTGTGCCCCAGTGACCTCGCCACTACTTAATGTTTGTCGCAAGAGGCAACTTTTCAGATCCACCTCTGGAAAGGGTCCTTGAACTCCTCTGTGTCATACGTTGCACACCTCTGCCACACAACACACACACACACACACACACACACACACACACACACATCTGGGAACACATGAGGGTTATTCCATCTCAGCACCTGGGTGGGCAGTAAATTCCATCTTCCAAATTCCATATTCTCACTGGCTAGTTATTTAGTCTGATGCCCTAACTTGCCTGGGGAGTGAGGTTATTATTTTTTTTTTAAGGTAAAAGGTAAGAATAGTGGCTTTTCCTCCATCATAGCTGGTAGAATGCCTAATACATAGTGGGTGCTTCATAAATGTTCAAGAGCTAAGAGTGTCAGCCCTGCTTTTTCCTGACAATGCCAGGGCCAACTACATCAGAAGCTTTTCAGAGAAGGTACATATATCTTCCCATAAGACAAACCCTCTGGGGATGAGAGATACGGATCAAAGAGGCTGGAGCTCATGTTTTACATGCGGGAGTTTTTCTGGTTCAGTGCTCAGCACCTTAAGGTCCCCTAAACACTACCAACGTGCCCCATAAACAAACCAACAGGGACCAGAGTGATACAGGGGTTAAGGCGATTGCCTTGCATGTGTCCACCTGATTCTCTCCCCAGCACCGCCAGTGGTCTACTGAGCCCTGCCAAGAGTGATCCTGAGCACAGAGTCAGGAGTGAGCCCGGAGCACTGCTGGGTGTGGATAAAGACAAACCCACTACTTTGCTTTAGGATGAAGAAAGGAACCTCAAACTACAGGCAGTTTGGAATCTGTGCAGGCCTCCGTGGACGATTCCCACCAGTCCTGGAACCCCCTCAAGTCGATGTAGGCTGGGACTTCTAGGGTGTTCGTGAATTCCAATCCCTGTCTTGTTCCAGGTCAGCTGCTGCCAGCAAACCGCAATACACCGAGTCCCATTGATCCTGACACCATCCAGGTGCCCGTGGGGTATGATCCTGACCCAGCCGACCTTGCCCTTTCCAGCATCCCTGGGCAGGAAATGTTTGACCCTCGCAAACGCAAGTTCTCAGAAGAAGAACTGAAGCCGCAGCCCATGATTAAGAAAGCACGCAAAGTCTTCATCCCCGATGATCTGAAGGTAAATTGGAACTGGTAATCAGGCTTTGGGTGCGTGGAGAGTGGGCTCTAAGGTAGATGAAAAGGTGAACTCACCCTGGGAAGATCTCACAGCTTGAGAATGCCTGGTGATTTCTGAACCTTGTTGTTGGCGGGGATTGTAGGCCAGGTAGATTGCTTTCTGGGTAGCTTCTGAAATCCATCTCATTTCTTTAGGTGCAGGGGGCTAGGGAGCGGGGAGCGGTCAGGCCACACCTGAAGGCGCTCAGGAGCTGCTCCTGGCTGTGTGTGCTCAAATCTTGAGAACCACACATGCTACTGTAGGGGATTGAAGCAGGGTTGGCTACAGGCAAGGCAAGTTGCTTTACCTCTTGTACCATCATTCCAGCCCAGAAATCTACCTTTCATTGGCTTGATGACACGGGAATAAAGAGAAGCAGTAATCCACTGGTGTGACTGATAATGCCAGTTATGCAAATCACCACGTTCTGCAGAGAAAACGATGCAAACCTAATCCCAACAGACTTTTTTTTTTCTGTTTGGGTCACACCTGGCAACACACAGGGGTTACTCCTGGTTCTGCACTCAGGAATTACTCCTGGCGGTGCTCAGGGGACCATATAGGATGCTGGGAATCAAACCTGGGTCAGCCACGTGCAAGGCAAATGCCCTACCTGCTGTGCTATTACTCCAGCCCCCCAATAGACTCTTTTAGAGTTGGAAGTAGAGGTTATTTGGCCAGGGTTCCTTTTGTCATTCCCCTGAGGATTGGGTGTCATTTCCTTTCCTTTGGGGATTGATTGATCATGAATCACTGTCATTTCCCTGGAGGCCTCAGGAAAGAATTGCCCGACAGACCCTCTCTCCTTGTGGCCACTATTGGGTGACCAGCAGGGACACAGGGGTCTGTTTAGGAAACTGGAGTTTTTCTGTTCATTCTAGAGTTCAAGGAAGGGTCACGTGAGACTCTCAGTGAAAAATTAATTCTGTGGGGTTTTTTTTTGGTCGTGTTGAGGGGATACCTCATTTATAAAGGCAAATAGTTTTACCATAGGAAGTCAAATAGAACTTTAAACGAACATAGCACATTGTGCAATTTCTTAGGAAGAGAATTCTCTTTCAAAAGTATGCCATGTCCACTGAAACTGAAATATAACCATTTGTGATGAGCTATTGCTTAGAATTTTAGTGTATGTTCCCTTCCACTCCTCGAGACAATAGAGATGTGATTGTGGACATTCAAGGCCTTGAAACCAGGCCATCATTAGCCCTTTTCTCGTTTCTGATCCCCATTCCCAAACCTAAAGATGTTTCAAAGTGAGAGATCCTCCCAGGCTGGGGAAAAATGAGAGCTTGGGACCTCGTCCTGGAACAGATTTAGACCAGTTGCCTCTGCTTTTCTTATCTGGAAGGAATATGTTAGGGCAAAGGCCTCGTCACTGCTATCAGCCACATACCCGAGAGAGGACAACCATCCTCCACCCCCTGGGGGTGCAGCATCCAGACTGACAGGGACCTTAGAGATGCTTTGGACCAAAGATGTCATTTTGCAGGGGAGGGAATGGAAGTGAGGAGGGTAGATGGGTGGGGTGCTGGTCAGGGCCAGGCTCAGCCTGGTCCCCATATCCTCCAGAAGAGTGACAGCAGATGTGTGTTAGATGCTTTTCCAAGGGGAAAGCAGCCATGAAATGTGTGCTGGAAATGCTGGTCAGGCGTTGGGTGAGAGGTGAGTCAGGCCCTGTGAGCGTGTGCAGGGTGGCTAGGTTACCTTCTCTTGCTAGAGGCTTCCTTTATCCTTGCCCTTAGCCATTCGATGCTGTGTGTTTTAGAGGTCATCTCTGCAAACCAACTGGGGAGCTCACTCAGCATGGCTTTCCTCTTCCGTGGAGATTGCTGAGTGGTAGCTGGAACTTCCAGCCAAACCTTCACAGGGGCTCCAAACTTAGAAGTTCAAAGGAAAGAGCCAGCTTACTTAATAGCCTGGGTAACCCTGGCAACAAAGAGGCCAGGCAAAAGCCTTCTGGGCTGGAATTAATGCATATTGCTGCTGCCACAGCCAGGCCTGACCTTTTCATACGGCAGGTGGGAAGCCAGCAGAAATGCTCCTGGGCTTCAGCTGTGAGCAAAAGTCTCAGGCCTTAGGGCACAGGCCGGTGCTGAGCAAGAAGCAGTGTTGGGACATCCTTCTCCCCAGATAGTGGGAGGACTGAGCTAGGACTGGGCAGGAGGGATGTCGGAACCCCCCAGCTTAGACAAAGCAAACTGAATGAGTTGAAATGGCTTGATCTGGTCACCCCCTCATGGGCCCTTTATTTGCCTTTGCATGTGCTTCCTGGAAGCTTTCAGGGTTGGCAGACCCATTCAAGCAGAACAAAGCACAGGCTCAGCCCATTAAGGCATCTCTCCAGCCCCATACCTGATATCTTAGCAGCTTTAAAAAAAAAATCATTGATTCACTGAACAGCATTTTTCAAACGCTTGTTTATGCCAAGGCCTGGGGATACCAGTATGACCCAGTACTGACATTGTTCCCACCCCTCAAGGGATGTCTAGTTTGGAGAGAAAAGAATAAGGTGTGTTGAGAGCCAGAGATATAGTAGGGCAACAGTGGGACACTTTGACTATGCACAGACTGACCTGGGTTCAATCCCCAGCACCCTGGAATGTCTCCTGAGCCCCACCAGGAGTATTATCTAAGCACTGCCATATGTTCCCTACAAACACACACACACACACACAGTGTTTACCTGTGAGCTGAGGATTGTTGAGGTGGTATCAAACAGACCATCAAGAAGATGGGGAGTGGGATTGAGACAGAGTGAGTCCCTCCTGGGTGAGGGAGTTTGGGAGTTGATGAGAGAGTAGAGAAGAGGTGTGTCAAACTGATTGGGCCCATTCAGGGTCCTGTTTTACCTCCTCATTTTCAAAGGTAACAGAAGGTAGCCAGTTGGCTTTTGGAGCCCAGAACAGCCCTCCTGCCTTTTCATTCATCCATTCCCAGATTCCTGCCCCCAGCCCCTCCTCCCCCCATCCCAGAAGGTCTGGATGCCCCACCTTTCCTAGGTTATCTGCATCTATGGGTGGGCAGGTGAGGCCCGGGAAGGTGAGGGTCCTGCAACATAAGGACTTTGGTGGAGAGTCTTGGTCACTTAGGTGTTGGTGAGATGTAATAACTATATCAAAACCCTAAATGTTAACACAGTTGGAAACATGTGGCCTAGAAATTAATGATTAAAGCTTAAAGAGAGCAGAGACAGAAGAAGCTGGTTATTAAGAAACAGAAATTGGTCATTACCTTCAGGTCAGGTGGTGGGTCCCTGATCCTTAAGGCCTGAACAAACTCCCACTTCCTCTCAACCCCCAGTTCCTGGTCTATAGTACAATCTTCCTCCCTGCCCTCTTCACACCCACTCGTGTGCAGTTCCCTGGGACCTTGATCTCAAGTGCTCCCTCACCTCCCTGGTCCTGTGTTTCTTCCTGCAGGCTTGGGTAGGTCCCAAATTAGCCCCTGTAAATGATTCTGAAAAACAGAGTCCAGGGAACAGTGAGGAGCGTGATAGATTTACTCACACAGCGGGGTTGAAATTGATGTGTACATCAAAGTCATACAGAGCTTCCATCAGAACAGGCAGCTGCAGTGTTGAAAATGTTCCTTGAGACCCCTGCCTTGCCCCCTTGAAGGTGTGACACCCTGCTGGCCCCTTCCTGTCTTTCTTCCCTGCCCCTAGCACCCCTCACCCTCTCAAAGACATAAAAAAAAAAAGCTCTACCAACCACCCGTGCACCCTCACTTACCTGTATATTCTTCTAAGGGCAGCCTCTTGGCTAAGAACTCTTAATACCTGCTATTAAGAAAATCATTTGTTTTCCACTTTGTTACATGTGATGATGAAATGTATAGAAAAATGGGGAGCATGTTAGAAGCATCAGCTCCAGCTCCTGGAAGCAACCGCCAGAAGGTGGCTTCAGAGCCATCTTATGGTGTCTGTGCAGGGCTTGTGTCTGTCTGCTCAGGGCTGGGGCTGGACCACTGACCTTGAGACTTCTTTGCAACTTTGGTGTCAGCCCAGCTCCTCCAGAGCCAACTGCCCCTTAGCATCCTGGAGGGCGGGGAGTACTGTCCTCACTTGCTCTTTTCCTGGAGGAGGCACAAAGTGCAGGTGTCCGCCTTGTTAGAATGGAGGGATTTGCTATAGCAGATTGTTAGGGAGAAAGGGAGTTTGTTGCAAAATTACCCGGCAGACACCATAAGAATTAGCATGGTCCGAAGAGAAGATGAGAGAAGATGGATAATTCTGTCTTCTACAGAAGGTTTTACTTTCTTTCAGTGTGTGTGTGTGTGTGGGGGGGGGGGGGGGGGGGGGAGGAGAACACCGGAAGAGAGGGAGAGTTTCTTACAACATTGATCTCAGTTAAATATTAGTTGGGTTAATTAAGGCATACAGCACAGTTAAACAGGAAATTAGAGTAAATTATTTAAATTCTAGCATCAACTACAAATATATAGGTTGGCAGAAGGTGGAAGCTTGGTTTATTTCTTTTTTTTTTTTTAATTTCTGCTTTTAATTACCAATGTGTTAGCACAGCAGTAGGACATTTGCCATGCACGTGGCCAACCCGGCCGACAAACGTTCGATTCCTCTGCCCCTCTTGGAGAGCCCGGCAAGCTACTGAGAGTATCTCACCCACACAGCAAAGCCTGGCAAGTCCCCGTGACGTATTTGATATGCCAAACACAGTAGCAACAAGTCTCACAATGGAGATGTTACTGAGCCCTCTAGAGCAAATCGATGAAAAACGGGAGGACAGTGCTACAGTACTGTGCAAAACCAACATATGATATTCTAACAATTCAAGAGGATATAAAGGATGAAAAATTCTGCCTTCCTATTTCACCTCCCTGCTTTAGTCCTCACGCCCACCCCCTTCTAAAGACTGTCACTGCCACTGTCTTCCCGTTGTTCATCGATTTGCTCGAGCGGACCCAGTAATATTATGAGACTTGTTACTATTTTAAATACCTTTAAATAAATCCCTCTGGACCTCTTTCTATGTAGGAATTAGAGAACATGATGGATTCATCACCAAAATGGGATGAGGCCATAAATATTTATATGAAAATTGCCATTGTTTCCCATCTCACAGTATATCATGAACATCTTTTTGCGTCAGCCAGATCTTTTTTTTAACAGCTGCAGAGCATCCTTTTATGACTCTGTTATGATATAGTTATTAAATCTACTGATCATTTCCCCCTATTACAAACAATGCTGCGGTAAAGATTGGGTGCATCTCTGTGCACACACATGGGAAGCTTGCAACAAAAAGATCCTAGAAGTTGAGGCAGAAGCGATAGTACAGTGGGTAGAACGTTTGCCTTGCACACGGCTGATCTAGGTTCAGTCCCCAGCATCCCATATGGTCCCCTGAGCACTGCCAGGAGTAATTCCAAGTGCAGAGCCAGGAGTAACCCCTGAGCATTGCTAGGTATGGCCCCCAAAGAAAAAAAATCCTTGAAGTAGAGTGGCAGCATCAAAGATAAGTGCATCTGATTGGTAGAATTGTCTGAGTGTATCTAACAGTAGGGTCTCTGTTTATGCCCCCACTGCATAGAAGCCCATAGAAGGGTTTCATCAAATAGGATTTCCAGCAAGAAGAATGAAGTACTTTGGCACTATTATTTAAAGTGTGAATCAAGAGCTTCATCATATATCCTGGATATTAGTCCTTTATCTGATAATAATGTGTGTAGATACCATCTCCCAGTCAGTAGGGTATCTTTTTATTTTTATCTCAAGTTTCACCACACAAAACCTTTTATTTTTATTTATCTTATTTATTTGCTTTGGGGCGACAACCAGAAGATACTCAGGGGCTATTCCTGGCTCTGCATTCAGAAATTCCTCCTGGTGGTACACAGGGGACCATATAGGTTACTATATGGGGATCGAATGTGGGTTGGTCGCATGCAAGACAAGGGCCTACCCTCTGTACTATTACTCAATCCCCCACAAAACCTTTTAATTTGATATCATCCCGTTTATTAATTTTAGTTTCTTACTATTGCAAAGGAGGGATAGGACAACGGTAGGGAGTTTGCCTTGCGCACAGCCAGCCCGGCTGAGCCAGGTTCGATTCCTCTGCCCCTCTTGGAGAGCCCAGCAAACTACCGAGAGTATCTTGCCCACACAGCAAAGCCTGGCAAGCTACCTGTGAGGTATTCAATATGCCGAACACAGTAACAACAAGTCTCAAAAGGAGACGTTACTGGGCCCGCTCGAGCAAAATTGATGAACAATGGGAGGACAGTGACAGTGACTATTGCCAGTAGAATTGCATATATTTCAGCATCTTTTGTTGAAGAGACTGGTCTTGGCGTATCTGTTGAAAACCAATTAATATTAGTTTGATTAATTAAGGCCTAGAGCACAGTGAAAAAGGAAATTAGCTGAAGCGATAGCAAAGCAGGTAGCGTGTTTGCCTTGCAAGTGGCTGACCCGAGTTTGATTCCTCCACCCCTCTCTGAGAGCCCGGGAAGCTACCAAGAGTATCTCGCCCGCATGGCAAAGCCTGGCAAGCTACCCGTGACATATTCGATATGCCAAACACAGTAACAATTGTCACAATGGAGATGTTACTGGGCCTGCTGGAGCAAATTGATGAACAACGGGAGGACAGTGACAGTGACAGATTTAAATTCCAACATCAAATACAAGTATATATGTTGGCGAAAGATGGAGGCTTGGTGTGTGTGTGTGTGTGTGTGTGTGTGTGTGTTTATGGTATATATATTTGGTATATGTGTGTATACACACACACACATGCATATATATATGTTCCTATGAAACAAAAGGGTTGGTAGTTGGAGCGATAGTCCAGCGGGTAAGAACTTACCTTGGAAGAAACTGGAGCAATAGCACAGCAGGTAGGGCGTTTGCCTTGCACGCGGCCAACCCAGGTTCAATCCCCCAGCATCCCATAAGGTTCCCCCGAGCACCGTCAGGACTAATTCCTGAGTGCAGAGCCAGGAGTAACCCCTGAGCATCACCTGGTGTGACCCAAACTGCAGGGGGGCGGGAGGTGGGGAGAAGCAGCAGCTGACCCGGGTTTGATCTTCTGCATCCCATATGGTTCGTTCCTCGGCCAACTCCAGGAATAATTCCCGAGTGCAGAGTCAGGAGTAAACCCCTGAGCATCGCCGAGGGTAGCCCAAACGCAGATAGAAACAAGGAAAAGGGGGTGTGCGGTGACCCCTTTGGATTCCCCGCAGCCCCTGCCGGGTCCCACCCAGGTGCGGGCGGCAGGTCCGCCCCTGACCGGGAGAGGGCGCCCCCTGCATTTTCCCCCCTCCCCCTGCACACCCCCCTCCCAACCCCCAGCCCCCAGCCGCGCAGCCCCGAGGAGCAGTGAGTGGGTGGCCCGGCCCGCCCGGCCGAAATCTAATCGCGCGTTTCTGTCTCCTCGCGTGGCCCATGAGCAGGACGACAAGTACTGGGCCCGGCGCAGAAAGAACAACATGGCAGCCAAGCGCTCCCGCGACGCGCGGCGGCTCAAGGAGAACCAGATCGCCATCCGGGCGTCGTTCCTGGAGAAGGAGAACTCGGCGCTGCGCCAGGAGGTGGCCGACCTGCGCAAGGAGCTGGGCAAGTGCAAGAACATCCTGGCCAAGTACGAGGCCCGCCACGGGCCGCTGTGAGGACCGACTGCGCCGGGCGGGCGCGGGACGACGGACGAACGAACGAACGAACGAATGAATGAACGAACGAACGAACGAACGGCGCGACCCCCGGCCCGGGGTGGGGGGCGCCGCGCCCTTGGGGCCCGCCTCCCCGACATCAGCACTTTACCAGCGGCATCCACGCGACCGACTCCCGTCTGGGTGTGCGTGTGTGTGTGTGTGTGTGTGTGTGCACGCGCGTGTGCGTGCGTGTGTGTGTGTGTGTGTGTGTGCCCGTGTCCACGTGCTTGTGCGCCTGTGTGTGTGTGTGTGTGTGTGTGTGTGGTCGTTGGTGTGCAACTGTGCATCCCCAGCCCCGCCCCCACCCATGCCCTCATCTTTCCATGCCACCCCGACCCCCACCCCGTCCCAAAGAAAGGTGCCGTGTTTTTACTGGACTGTGGAGACCTCGAGGGGGGCGTTTCCTGCCTCCCTCCCACCACCACCACCACCACCATCTCTCTACTCCTGCGCCTTCCACGTTGCTTCACTCCTGTTGGTTCTTCTGTCCCCTACCGACCCCACCCCCGACACCCCTCATCCCACGCCCCCCCCCACCCCCCACACTCGGCTTGGCTGCACTAAGCAGGACCCTGGTATAACAACTTTCTATCTCCGTTTTTTTTTTCTTTTCCCCAGACGCTGCAAACTCTTGTTTCAGTTCAATCTGTAAGTTTAAACATGCTAATTAGGTGCACAGAATCATTTAGCACTACACTGCAGCTCGATTCAGTTATAGGTTGCTTTCCTCCTCTTTTTCAGTTCCCGTGATAAGCGTCTTCAAATTTAAAGTGCTGTTTAGATGGATTAGATTCCATACTTACTGCTCTCGACTAAGTTTCCTTTGAATTCTGCCAACCCCCAGATAAGTAAGAGTACTACCCTAGAACACAGAGTGTGTTTTTTTGCACTGTCTGTACCTAAAGCAATAATCCTATTGTACGCTAGAGCATGCTGCCTGAGTATTACTAGTGGACTTAGGATGTCTTCCCTACCTACGAATTTCACCGTCTTTTTAAGAAACAAAAATCAAAGCAATGCATTGGAGCATGCCCAGAACATCCCCGGGTGAGGGAAGCAGGGGGCAATGCCAGGTCTAAGAAGGAGGGGTTACTTTATCAGTATATGAGCCAGAAATGCAACTTGGAACAGCTTTGGACATCAGCATGTTTGGGTTTGTTTCCTTCCGCTCCTCTGCCCCACCTCCCACTTTTTCTAGTTACAAGTTTTCCATCACCCTCTTGAGAGTCAATTCAGTGACTTAAGATTTCGTTTTCCCCATTTTTTGTAATATATATATTTTTGTGAATTACACCTTGCTGTTTTTAAAAATCAGTTAAGTTAATAAGTTGATATTTTGTAAGATCCCTTTTCCTAGTGGTGTCATTTTTGAATGCTTCATAAATTAATGATTCTGGAGCTTATGTTTCTTAATTCTGTTTGCTTTTGAACGTACGTGCTCTTATAAAGTGGACTTCTGAAAAATGAATGTAAAAGACACTGGTGTATCTCAGAAGGGGATGGTGTTGTCACAAACTGTGGTTGATCCAATCGATTTAAATGTTTACTATAGACCAAAAGGAGAGATTATCAAATTGTTTAATGTTTATACAGAGTAACTATAGTAAGTTCTTTTTTGTACAGTATTTTTCAGATATAAATACTGACAGTGTATTTTGGAAGACATATATTATATATAGCAAAGAGAAAAGGAAAACTATTCCATGTTTTAAAATTATATAGAAAAGATATATATTCATCCATGTTGCACAGAGAAAAGAAATGCTTGGGGGGTTGGAAGTCTTTAATAGTTAAGCCCATCACTGACACATCAGCATGTTTTCTGCTTGAAATTAAAATTTTATTACAGTTTCCAGGCTCGCTATGACAAATTTTGCTCTCAAGTATAGAAGGAGCTTTCTTATTTTCTATTAGGTGTCAGAAAGAAGTCAGTTAACGTCACCAAAAAGCACAACATGAATGTTAGTCAAATATTTATTGGATGATACAGTGTTTTTTAGGAAAAGCATCTGCCACAAAAATGTTCACTTCAAAATTACGAGTTCCAGGAATGGAGTCTGACTGCAAGCACCCCAAACAGTTCTGTTCTCTGTGGGCCTGTGTGTCTTAGGCAGTACCAGGTTGATAACGGTGCTATGTGTATGGTTCATCATTTGATAGATGTTTTGACTTCCAAGATGATTGTTCTTTTGTTTTACGAAGCTGTGTAACGTCAAGAGATTCTGCTGTTATTGCAAAGAAATGTTTTTGTGCTTAGATTAAATAACCTTTTATCAATGGGATTTTTCTAGTTTCCTGCCTCCAGGGTCTCTTCTTTCCTGGCCTGATGTTCTCCTAGTTAGTTCATCAGCAGTGTTTCAGAGTTTCATAGTCTTTGGAAAGCTGAGTGTTAAGGCTGTTCCTCTAGGTTTGCATTTGTCCTAAACTACAGATTAAAATGGGAGAGAGGCAGAGGATCAGAATTGAAGCCCATTGTTCACGTAAATGACTCAACAAATAGTCAATGAGACCATGGGCAATCCGTGAGCAGAACTGAACAAGTGATATTTGAAAAGAGACCCAAGGGGGTGCAGAGCTGGCAATTTCATATGGACAAGAGGCTGACTGCAGCGGAATTGTTCAGTGGCAGTAATGTTGAAAACAGAAGCCAGAGATGGCTTTAAGTGGAGAAGTGCGGAAGGGTCTTGCCGCCAACAGTTCGGTGATGTTAGCTAACGAAATGGTAGCTAATGAAATTGTGTTTGAATACTGGTCTTTCTTAAAAAAATTAAGCTGTTTATATCAAATAAGCATCACAAATGTCTTTTGCAGAAGGAATAAAAAATCATAATAAAACTTAAACTCTTTTAGGTGCCAGGAGAGGTTTTAGAAACCTACCTCATCTTTAAAAATTACTTAAATTGGGCCAGAGAAATAATAGAACAGGTCGGGCACTTGTCTTGCATGCATCAGACCCAGGTTCCATCCCTGGCACCACAGATGGCTCCCAGGTACTACCAGGAGCTATTTCTGAGCAGGAATGAGACCTGAGCACAGCTGGGTGTGCGCCCCCCCCCCCAAAAAAAAAATAAAACAATCAAAAAAGCTTAAACTTTGGAGTTTATTCAGGTGCCTTATACGTGGGGCACTTTCCTCACACACAAGCACTTTCTTGAACTTGCAGCAGCCAGGGACCCTCAGCTAGAAACAAAACCCTCTGGGTCAGTGTGTGGGAAGCCAGAGCCTGATGGGGAGCGACTTCCATCAACCAGGGTCAAATGAGTTCAGCAGAAAGCAACTATTTTAAGAATACTGTTGTCATTTTTCACCTTTTGATCATAAGCATTTTTCAGAGATTAATTACTTGGCCATTAAAAATGAATTCAAATCATATCATGCCAACATCAGTTCAACATGACTGACGATGGGCGGCCTCCGGCTTCCTGAAGGGCCCATCATTTCTTTTGACTGGACTTGGAAAGAAGGACTGAATTGACCAGCCTCTCCTGTACACGGTCCTTGTGGAGATAGGCAGGGCACGGGATGGCTGTGAAGGATGATTTCCTCCTTTTGAGGATATGACTGCTCACCATTCAGATCTCAGGAAAGACTGGTTGACTTTTGTTTTCAGATACAGCTGGCAGGGCCGAAGCAAGAGTACAGTGGATAGGGTGCTTGCCTTGCATCCAGCATGGCAGGGTTTGATCCTTCATTACCCACATGGTCCCCTGAGCCCCACTAGGTGTGATCTCTGAGCACCATAGTTGTGGAACTTCCCCAACCCAAATCAGATATAGCAGGCCTTCTTGAAGCCACTTCTCAAGGCAGAAGGTCCATATTTTTGGTCAGGGTGCGGAAATAGCCAGTGATTTCCTAAACAGTTCACTAGTCTGATGAAAGAACTCAGTAATTCTGAAAATGCATTGAAAAGATTTTGAATCTGTTTACAACAGAGTCAGAAAGTTTAAGTGGAGCTTTCTTCCTGCCAGCCGAAGGGTGACATTCTATAAAATATAAAATTATGCTTCAATTTTTCTCTTTCTCTCTCTCTCTCTCTTTTTTTTTTTTTTTGCTATAGTTTATCTCATATTCCCCAGATCTCCCTGTTGGGATACATTTGCACTTTTTCTGAGAGTGATGGAGGTAGCCTACCTGTAAGGGTGGAGTTAGGTTGGGGTGAATACCAATGTGCTGGTCCCTTTCTCCTCTCAACCTACCCTCCTACTGGGGCTCTGAGCACCCCCTCCCCCGAGAAGTTTTCCCCAGGTGTCGCTATTATTAATAATGCTGTTTTTAAAAATGAGTAAAGCCTTATCGTAGGTCTTGATCCATTTGATTTGGCAGCTAAAGTCAGTACATTGTCAGAGGGTGAAGTGTGTGTGTGTGTGTGTGTGTGTGTGTGTGTGTGTGAGAGAGAGAGAGAGAGAGAGAGAGAGAGAGAGAGAGAGAGAGAGAGATGAGAGAGACAGAGAGAGAAAGGATATTTAACTCAAGACATAAATTCTTTCATTTTGGAGCACCTGACCGGACATGACAATAAGCCACAATTATCTTTTTGGCAACACCACTAAATTGGCGTCTGTTAAACAGGTACCAGTTCCCATGAGGTCAGTTTGTTGTGCACTGTGATTCTGGTGGTGTGTTTGCTGTTAAGTCCAATCTTGTATGTTATATTCCTGATGTTTAATAAACTTTGGAGTTTTTCCTTTCTTTCATGGAGTTTTGTTGACAGTCTTCTAGAAATCAGCTCTTTCCCCAGCACCAAGAAACCATACGCTTAGCTCCACTAGATAGGTGATGACACTAATTATCAGTAAATGAACATGTACTGAGTTTTTGCAAGACATTCTATTGGGCACTTAAATGGAATAATATATTTAGGACCATAATGACGCTATGAAGTCAGGACAAGTGTCATCCCATTTTACAGAAGTGAAGAATGAAGCTTTTGAGAGGCAAAATAGCTTTCCTGATTTATCGGGAAGTG